CACACAAGGAATTACAACTCAACAATCTAATCGGTTAATTATGGCAACCATGCGACATTGAGCGAGAAAATGGTGTTAGTTTTTCGTTTCGAGTTCGAGATAACCGGAAAAGAGGAGAGAGGGGGAGGCGCCTAAGGTTTGAAGAAGGGAGAAGATGATTTCATGATTTTTCTTAGTGATGGAAGAAAAAGGAAACAAATTATCTCTCTCTTGAATTCACGTGAGAGAAGTTAAGGAAAATGGGCCAAAACCCCTTTGAGCCCAAGACTTAAACAAACTCATCTAAACTTAATGTAAACCAACATTTATTATACTATTTTAAAATCAAAATTCACTATCTAATTTAATTCCTATAAAAATAAAAGGGTCAAAATAAAATTCATAGAATTAAGGCAATCCAATTAAATAATCTCATTTTCAAAATAAATAAAAAATTACTAAATTAAACTACTTCATATAATATTTTTGATCATCTAATAAAAGTAATCATAAAATAAAATAAAAATAAAATAAATCAATTAAATATACTATCATTTGTTCTATTAATCAATAACATAAATTAGCAGGAAATGGTCATATCTAAATTTTCAAACAATAATATAAATAAATTATACTGACTACTAAGATGAAATCCCAAGATAATATCAGTTGTTTGATAAAAATAAATAAGTTAATGCGTCATAAACAAAATATTTTAATACATGAAAGATTAAAATATACAAGTTTTATCCTAAAAATAGTTTTGCCCTCAAAACTAGAAGTTATGAAAGAATTGCACTAATGTACACTACTATTAACTTTATTCATTACTCAAACACAACCGCTAATCAACTTCTCGCTACAATGTTTTCCAAATTCCTTTAAATATACGTAAAAACAAAAATGATAGAAAATTAAACAAAGAATAAAATATTTACAATCAAATAAAAATAAAACTATATTTGTTGGAGTGTACTGTTATATCAATAATCGTTCAACAATAATAAAATTCATTTATTTTCAAACAAGATTAACAATTAATTAATTAATTTTTTTATTTATAATTAAAAAATTTATGACTTATTAATTTATGCAATCCAATATCATAATTTTTAACTAGCTAAACTAATATAATAAGTAAAATAAAAAGAAGCACCAATTTTATACATCAAATGTTGGAGCATCACGCCCAACATGTTCTTTCTAAAGCTTCATACAACTTTAGCAAGTTAGACCATTCTTAAACACTTAGACATTTTTGTAAATTGTTGTTTTGCTAAAATGCAGTCAATTTAATAGACACCACAAAGACTTATGAGCAATATCAAACTCATGTTTTTTATTAAAAGTCTTATACAATTTACGATATGGGTGATTGGGTTTTTGAAATTTCTGATGCCTAAGGTAATAAACAATATTTTTTTCCAAATTGAAGTTGGTGGAAGTACATATTAGATTCACATATAGGACACAATTTGTCTTCCTTGACATTGTATTCGGTCAAATTTTCATATGCAGAAATTTCGTTGATTGTGCAAAATTACATGTCACGCATCTTAAACTTTTTACCTAGATACACAACATCAACATTAACGCTTTTCTCCCACAAAAATCTTAAATCTTTAATTAATGGATTTAATAAACATATATGTTGTTTTCAGGTGTTTTTGCCCCGAAATTATCATGGATAACAACATATATTTGTGTTTCACGTACAACTAAGGAGATAGGTTGTAAATCATGAGAAGAAGAGGCTACAAAGTATGGTTAGTACTTAGATTACCAAAGGGGTTCACTCCAACAGTGTCAAGTCCAAGCGTAAGGTTTCTTGACTCATTGTCAATATTCAGAAACAACTAATCAATTGTCTTCCATTACAAATAATCAGCTAAATGGAGAATTTTCCATCGTATTTTCTTTCCTCTGCATGTCATCTAATATTATTTCTGTCATTCATATTAGCAAATAATCTCTTGAACCTTGGAGTTATTAGTAGGTATTGTTCCGTTCTAGGAACCATAAATGAATGATGTTGGATAATTGATGATCTTGAGCAGTGGTGTTGATCTTCTTTACGATAATATGGGGTGGATCTGCATGATTAGAACTCCAACGCCTAAGTCAATTCAAAATCTAAGAGTATAATGAGAAATGGAGATCAGAGAGTGTACCTTACTCTTTGCATGTGAACTGATTTTATACCTTGGGTCAAGTGGAGTGAATTTGAGTTGAATTGGTCCTTAGTCATTTGGACCTTTGACCGGTCCAGAACAGTTTCTCCAAGGTTTTATCAGGCATTCAAGGAGTCGATGGAAGCTTTAAATGATGTCGGTCGACCTTCTGGAAGTTGTCCGATGTGAAATGAAACTGTAATGCCTTGAATTAATTGAAAAAGTAGTGGGGAACAAGTACATTAAATTCGGTCTCATCATTGAAGTGTTTTCACATTCCTCTTCTGACATGTGTGGTGATGTGACTAGCCAGAGCATGACGTAGTTTATATTCCACTCAAGTGTACTCGATTTGGCATGCATCAACGAGGCAAAATCCAGTGGTTAATCTTGTGACTTTTTTCTCTAGTTGGTCTAAACTCTTCAGGTACCATTGCTTACACATAGGGTGAACTGAGTATTTAGAAGTTTTCACAACCATTGACATTCAAACTTGCAGTTAGTTTTTCAGAAAACCTCTTTGTTTTCTCTTCCCTGAGAATATTATTAGGGGTGATCTTCGACATTTTGCTCAAAGCTTTTGCCTTTCTTCGTTTTTTCCCGCTCCACCAATCTCATATAACCAAGTACGGTTTTAACTCAAACTTGTATATTCAGCATTTCCTGTTTTTTAGTTAGGATAATTGATAATACTCAGGGTCGGACTTGTGCAAGAGCAGCAAGCTCTACCGCACAGGGCCCCAAATTTTAAAAGGTGTAATTTTTTTCATTAATATTAATAGACATAAAAAATATTATAATAAAAATTCAATAAAAAAAAAATATTATGATAAAAACTGAATACATAAAAAAATGAGATGGATCATAGTCAAAATAATTATAATTAAATGTATTGTTAATTAATATATAATTATATTTTTATATATCACTTTTAATTGTTTTAATTGCATTTTTTAATAAAAAATTGGGCTCATTTTTTAAATTAGAAGGGGGCCTCCGAATTTATTGGGTCGACCCTGATAATACTGTTGACTTAGTGAGCAATTCAGAGGCCAAAACTTTGTCTGCTTCTATAATAGGAATATCCCCTAATTCGCATCTCTCTCCTCTTGATCACAATCACTTGGAACCCTAAATCATACTCTTATCTAACGATTATGACTCAAAAAGGCTATTTGGGGGTTCCTTTGAGGAATGAACTTCTCCTTCTGACTTATTAGAAAATCTTTTATCGAACTTTGGCATAGAGGTTAATCGTGTCAAGGTCCCTTTTTCTCTTTGTATATTATCCTAGTGGGAGATACAAACTAACCAGTAGAAGAAAGAACGTGATAAAGATTATATTCAACTTTGCATGTCGATCGATAATTGCGAGCCCAACGATGCTGAAGTGAATGGTAACCGATATTTTACCCAATTTTTATTATTAATAAAAATTAACATTGTATTTAACATATTTTAAATAATAAAATTTGATGGATAGACGTAGTATTTCAACTGATGTGTTAAATTGTCTCATATCTAACTATAACCTTTATTTTTATTTACGTATTAATATATAAAAAATTATTTAATATTTATAAATCTATATTTTTTAGGGTTAAATATGTTTGTTGTTCTTCTAAATATCTCCAATTTCGTTTTTAGTTCCTAAAAATATTTTCTTTAAAAAATGGTCAACCTAAAATTTTTTATCCACACTTTTGGACTCTAATACTAAAACTGTCGATAATTTTGTCGCTAAGTAATAAACCGTCGCTAATTCAGTCTCTAAATTGTAAAAATCGTCGCTAAGTTGCAAAAGAGATCAAAAGTGTGGATGAAAATTTTTAAAAGGACTATTTTTCTAATAAAATATTTTAATGGACTAAAAACGAAATTTGAGATATTTAGAAGAACCACAAAACATATTTAATCCTATTTTTTTACAAAAGAATAATGAAATCTTAGAATTTATTTTTCTCTAAAATATATAAATTATAAACTAGATAAAATTATTTATTTTAACAAAATAATTTACAATTTTAGTTTTGTATTCTACTTGATTTACGAAATTGGTCTTTTTTTTAAAAAATTTAAACCATGTTAATTCATTTTTTCATTTTTTTAATTATAAATTTTGTATAAAACATTAAAAATAAAAATGATTAAATTATAATTTCAATTTTGTGTTCACGAAATTAGTCTCCCTATTTTAAATTCAAACAGTTTTAGTCTCATAATTTTAAATTCAAACATTTTTAGTTTTTATCTCACACTTTTTTATAAAAAAATCGATGAGATTGTCGTTTTCTAACTTACATTTTTATTTATAAAGTTCAGCAATACATTTATTTACGATAATTTGATATGTTTCACAAATAATTAATCATTTAAAAAAAAGAAACGCGTTAAATTTAAAGATTTAATTGAAATGCACTAACATTTTACACTGTCAGTTAATTATAATTGTTAAATATAAGAACAAGTTTGACTTTTATTTTAATTACTAATAAAATAATACTAACGAATGATAATGATGAACGGACAGTATAAAACTTTTTACATCAATAATATATAATAATTAATCTCTAATTTTAAATACTATGATAAAAGAATCAAAATTATTTAAATTTTAAATAAAGTGGTCAAAAATATTTAAATTTAGAAAAGGAATATCAATTTTGTGAATTGAATAAAATATTGGTGTAATTAAGCATGCAAAAATCTATAGTAAAATTTTATAAATAAAAATACAACAATATTTCATTGAATAACAATCGAAAAAATGGGAGAAATCAAAGAAGTAAGTATATTTATTGGAAGAGAATTGCGAGTGGAAGTTAGAACTCAGAAACTCAACAAACAAACATGTCTTTCACTTGCCGCGTTAATCCTATTTCTTTACAGCTGCAATTCCACTCCCACGTTTCTCGAACAACAACAACAACCTCCTCCCTCTCTCTACTTCCTCCTTCATCTCCTCTTCTCACTCTAAACGCCGTTTTCCATTCCCAACCCAAACTACACCTCAAACGCTCTTCCACCACAACTCGCTGCTCTGGTACTTCTATATCTCTTTTCCCTTCATGGGTTTTCACTTAATCACTATAAAGTCACAACCTTTGATTTCCTCCTATCAATTTCACCTTCTATTTACATCAACCCCTTTTAGGGTTATCTCTAATTCAATTCAATTTTCACTTTTTACAGCTTTATAGATGAGAATATGAATATATACGATTTGGGTTTTTTCTGATTTTGATTTTGTTTCAGCGTTGACTCCTGAATTGAAGAGCACGTTGGATAAAGTTGTTACTTCAAACAAAATAGTTTTGTTTATGAAGGGTACTAAGGATTTTCCACAGTGTGGATTCTCAAATACAGTGGTGCAAATTTTGAAGTCTTTGAATGCTCCTTTTGAAACTGTAAACATATTGGATAATGATATGGTGCGCCAGGGACTTAAGGAGTATAGCAGTTGGCCTACTTTTCCTCAGCTCTATATTGATGGAGAGTTTTTTGGTGGATGTGATATCACTATTGGTATATCCTTTCCAGTTTCTGCTTTTGATACTTATTATTTATTACAATCTAGATGCACAAGCACTTCATATTGAAGATGTGACCGGTGTCGACACTACACCAATACATTAGATTACAGTCATTTGTTTTCGGTGTCATGTCCAGTGTTTGTATCTCTGGGGTGATGCTACATTGCTGATTATGATTTTAACTCTATCTTTGTTTGCTGCAATATTGGCTTAATCAATTCATGATGAATTGATGATAATGTTAACATGTGTAACTTGTTTCTCTGATAATTCTTTAATTTGGCTTGGTTCACTGATGGAATCATTTGAACATGACCTAACATATTAACGAGCCAGAGTAAATAAGTTAATATGAAAGAGCTCTGAAATTTCAATTTTTTGCATTTGAACTAGGAAACATGCTAATCAAAGTTGCTGTTACTGATTATCATGTTAAAACTAATGGAGGTATTACATGTTAGAAAAAACAAAAACATAAAGTTGTTACTTTCGAGTATGTCCTCTAGCTTTCATATGATTGCTGGTTGCTGTTACTATCGACTGCATAAGAATCAGTTAAGTTTATCTTTTTAGCATTAGATAAAGCTATATCATTATTATCCCCACTTGATTTCTTGAAAATAATTATTGTAATCTCACTTTTTTTTCTTCTTTTCGACAGAGGCATATAAGAATGGAGAATTGCAGGAACAGGTGGAGAAGGCAATGTGCTCCTGAAGACTCATTTGCTCACGAGGCACAATGAAGAAATGAGTTATACAGTGGCTTGGGGATAATGGACCAAATTTGTATGATACATTTTGTTCTCATAAATGTCTATTATAATGATGATGAGTACAAAGTAGAATATCTCATTGAATGGACAATTATAGTGCTAGTTGCAACTGCAAACTTTGTTCATTAATCAACTTTCTTGCGTTTGTAATACTGTCATGTTCTGAATAAATACTATCAGATCATAGATTCAACTCGTAAAATCAGTCTCCTTTTGTGCGCATTGCCATGGCATGAGCTTTATAGCCTCAGGTCGATTTTTTGTCTTAGATTGTTATATTGATACTTGCTAGTCACAATAGTTGCAAAACTAAGGTAAGTTTACTCGGCGTATCATAACATAAAAAATCCATAAAGAAGAAAAACTGATAATTATGTTAAAATCTGAACAACTCTTGATTCAGAATAATGCCTGCAAAAACAAGTCCAGTGCCACTTTCCTTTACACAAAATACAGCACTGGCTATACAAGGTTTGATGAAACGTATATGAACATGAAAAACCACTTTCAAAAGTGGGAGAAATAATATCAGACGACAACAACAATCATCAAAGAATACCAGATGAAACCAAAATGTGTATCAGCAGCTTTTGATGATGGAATATGCAGGAATATTCGGTTAGGAATACTGTGGTTTTTGACGCGATCTGTGCAGCATATTCTCCCACTTGCAAATTGCGAATATTTAGAATCATTAATTTCCTTTGGATAGTTCTCAATTAAGATCCAACTTCCATAGTATGGTCTGATGATCGTACATCGATAATGACTGTCGTTTGATGCAGAGATACCCATGCTAAGTTCCGTTGCTTTTTATTTGAGAAGAGTGATTAGATGATGAAGATTGGAGCAAAGACTGCGCAGCTAACAATCTCTCCCTTAGCATAGCATTATACTCGTATAAATTTTTGAGATTCTTCTGAACATCAGACATATCCATTTCAGAACCACTCTTGCATTCTGCATCACATTTATACACAAGTTACATGCAACTTGCAAGGGAGTTAGCAAAAGCACTAGCATTCAGCGTGAAAATAAACACTGATAACTAATAAGAATGTATCAACATACCCAGCAAAGGTGGAGGAGGAATAAAGTTATCATCAATAATAGACGATTCTCGAGTTTGAAATGGTGGAAAATCTCTGCTTGAACCAACACTCTGATTCTTTGTCGTATTTTCATAACGCAGTGTCAAATCATTAGTAGATTCAACCGGTTTGCTGGCCAGTGTCTGAAAGAAAACATTGAAATCCATTATAAAAAAAAAATGCTTGGCAGCAACCATATATTTTAGTAGAAAAACTAATGAATATACAATGACAGCTTTACCTTGTTGGCAGGTAAACTCGGTTTCTTGTACAAATTTATAGAACTTGCTCTACTCTGCTGCCTTCGCTTATGTGATGATCCACCGCTGCGAACTGAATGCAACATTAACCCATTGCAACAAGGTTCATTTTTAGATTTATCGTAGTTGTCATCATCCATTGTAGGACAGCCGTAGGTGTACTTTACATATTTTCTCAACTGGTTAAAAGATGAAATATCAGTCATAGAACCAACAAATACGTAGCTATTATTGATCATAAGGAAATTAAATGTGAAATATACAAGATATTTTCAGAATTCAACAAAGAAATTACTTTGGCCCAATTATCTTGAGCTTTACGCCGATTTCTAATTGACTGCAAAACACTGTCCTCATTTCTGAGCTTCTTTACCCTGTATTCACACTAGAATTTTAAAAGAAGGTTAGAACAATATGGAATATAATATATTTATATCAGTATGAAAAAGATAATACTCAATTAAGCCAAAAGCAATAAGAATAAGAATAAGAATCCTAATCAAACATTATTGAGAAAGGAAGAAGTGTACCTGTATCAATAGATAGAAAAAGATGCCTATGCTAATGCAATACAGGCCTCCAAGGTCTGCAAGGAAGCTCACTGCAGATACCGACACGTAAGGTTACATTTAATTATTCCGTTTTCTCAAATATTACTGGAGTCAATGTGTCTGTGTTGTGTCTGGTGTCCGTGTCTATGTCAGTGTCAGTACTTCATAGGATGATAGTAACCAGTGACTAGTACGAGAATGAACAAAATTAGGAGTGGTAATGAAAATATGATACAATAAATTGGAAGAAAAGAGCTACAAGCTTAAGTAAACAACAAAATCACATGAGAAAGATAGCTTGCACGCATAAGCTATAGAAAGATGCTTACCAGGACCCAAAATATTCTCTTTATCAACCTCCACAACATAAGCAGAGAGAAAATTGATATACAATGTTGTGTTGACAAGTCCATCAACAGAATTTTCAAGGGAAGTTTGAAGTTGATTTGTATCGTGAAAAACTGAACCGGGGAGGAACTCGTGAAACAAAGGCTGAATGAGCTTTAGATCGTGTAAATTATGGTATATTCGAGGAAAAAGATTGAATTTCAAAATATTTGATTGCCTCCCTCTGAATGTAACTGGTCTATCATCAAAAGCGCTTCCATTCTTTAGTGTCCCATTAACAAAACTCATGTGTTTTTTAGCACTATCCGTTGCAGCGAGATGAAATTCATAGCCAACAGCAGTGGCAGGACTATTTGGGAGATCAATGAATTGCCACGAAATGTACATGTGATCGGAGACGAGCTTGCAACCTTTACACTTGAGTGCTATGGTTGGTCCCTTGCTCGAGTTGTGACATGAGTAGTTTACTAAAGTTGACAGAGAAACAACTCTTTCGTCAATAAAGCCTGGATTCCCCGAAACTAAATTACCGAGATCACGTAAATTTGCACAGCTCATACTAGATACGGTTGTTATATTGAACTCCATGTCATTGAGAAACGAGGTTAATTCTGGCGCACTTGTTGCTCTTACATTATGAACCTCAATCGATCTCTTCGATATGATCTGGTACAACAACCTGATGGAAATTGGACCGCCGAGTAAAAAAGAACGACTTATGACAAATAGAAATCGAAACGTGATAAGGAAAAAACAATCTATTCCTCTCTATTCCTGACAATGTGAATGATAAGGCATCAAAGACTTACGCAGCAAATAATCCGATAAAGAGTATCCAACTTGCTATGGAGAAAGCTCCACCAAGTTCAGTTTTGCGTTTGGTTACTACTTTTTTATCATCCTACAAGAAAACAAAATGTCACTCTGCGTTAGGGAGTCGACAGCCAACGTAAAACTTTATCGAATCTCTATGACATGGATCATAGTTAGCAATTGACTACTAACCTAACAGATAAACTGAATTAACAGTAACTAAACTATCAACCGTTTTGTTGCTATAAAACTAACTTAACTAAACACCAACTAATTTAACTTATAAACATAAAGAACTTACTTTATGGTAATAAAACAAAACAAAGTACTAACCAACCAATGTCTGGTAGCAAAGCAAACATCCAACCGACTGATAAACCATCTAAGTTTGAACCAAACACCACGGCCATCACCAAGGCTCATGAACCTAAGAAAAAAGCAAAAGAGAAGCCAAGAGAGAAGCATAACAAACGTGGCTTCCAAGAACACAGCTTGTGATTGTGTAAACTTCTTGATGTTATCAAAGCCAGAAAGTGTCTCAGGGAGTCTAAAAGCATAGTAGTCCACGCCAGAATCTGTAGTTACAGTTGAATCTGTGTCGAAGAGGTTGCAACTCTTTGACACAACGTTGAGAACATAGCCAGGTGCACAAGCACAAAGGGTACTATTGTAGGTTATGGAATTTGAAGGACAAGACATTGAAAAATTGAGAGGTAGGTACCTGCTACCTACCCAGTTGAGAAAAAACAAAAAGATTTTAACTTGAAGCTGGATTTGGGTGTTTGAACATGAAAAATGAAATGGGGTTGATTTTGTTTGATGAATTGGTTGGATTGAAAGTTGAAACAGTAGATTAGGATTCAAGACATTAACAGCAAAAACAAAACATTTAATGTTTTTTGTTTTTGTTTTAATTATGTGTGCGTGTCAGAGTTTCTTAGCGTTGAAGTAGTTGTAATAGATAAGAAAAATAATTTAGATTAAAAGTTGATGTTGCTGTTTGTAGCTGGGTTTTGGAATTTCGGCAACTTTTGTTTTTGTTTATGTTTTGGTTTTGCGTGTGTGTTTTGTTTTTGTTTGTGCTTTTTTTTACAAATCAGAGTCATAAAGCATATATTCTTGATTTTGGATTAAAAGTTTGTGATTTGTGATTTTGTTTTTCCTTTTTAAATATTTTCTTTTTCTTTTTCATATTTTAAAAAATATAACATTAATGGAGTAATTCCCTGCAGTACCTCAAATGACGAAAAAGTATTGCCCTAAACGTCTTAGATTGAAATGAAATTCGTAATATGTCATACTTTTCAATTTTTTATGGTTTATTATTGAATATGCGAATAATGTCTTGGGCACATAGACTTTCGCCCATTTAAAGTCAAGCTCTTTTTTATCTTTTTGTTTTTTAATTTTTTAATAAATTAAATTATTTTTAAAAAATAATATAATAATATATTAATAACTTTGGTAATAATTTTCTTAGAAAATTACAGTTCAATTTTTCTGTTAAAAAACAAAATTTTTTAAATTTGAAATATTATGTTAATTTATATATAATAATAAAATAATAAGAAAATGAATAATAACAAAAATAATTAAAAAATATTTTGGCTCATTGAGTTGTCGAAAGTGTTTTTGGATTTTTTTTTTAAATAACCACTATTTTTAAATAATATAAAAAAAATCATCATTTCCAATTTTAGCTTAGAGAAGAAGAGAGTACATCAATCAAAATAGTGCATGGATACTACATTTATAAGAAGGTGTTATTTACATTGACTTATATTCATCCTAAAGATTGAAAAATGATATATATATATATATATATATATATATATATATATATATATATATATATATATATATATATATATATATATATATATATATATATATATATATATATATATATATATATATATATATATATATATATATATATATATATATATATATATATATATACCATTTGGATTGGCACATGCATTGAAAAATGATGTACCATTTAGATTGGATTGCCGCGTGCATTATAAATAATTAAATTTAATATATATATATATATATATATATATATATATATATATATATATATATATATATATATATATATATATATATATATATATATATATATATATATATATATATATATATAAAAGATGCGCCATTTGAAATGGTGCATACATTTAATGCATGAATGTGAGCGACATCTTCAATGGCAACACATACAAGCATTAGCCATTTGAAAAATGGTATGTATTAAAGAGAATGCATTCGTCAATCACAATGATGACTCCTCTTTCCTTTTTTCTGAAACATTGTTACTTTCTTAATAAATTTGAAATATTGGTTTATTTGGTATTTAATTTGAAAAAATGGATATTTTAAAATAAAAAATCCGCATTTTTGTCCATTGGGTGTGGTATAACACCTTCGATAATTATTTATTGTACTCATTATATATTCTTTGTAATCATGTTTGTTTAGGTTGTTGTTGTTTTTTTTTTATCAAATGAAGGATATGCGTGTTTGCCTGGATCCACATTGTAATCTTAGAACACTATCGACACGAGTTTTTGACAGTTAAATGGTTGAACTAGAAAGGTAAGAAAATTAGACTTGTGTTGTCCATACATAACCATGAAGATCGATAGCCCAAATGGTACTTACCTATATAAACGAGATCATATATATAATAATTTAGATGTTTATTGTATGTTTGAAATTCATAGAGGATAAGTAAATAGAGGTGTTGAAGATTCATTTTTGTATGTACTGTCGTTGATTAATTTAGTAAGATATATGTTAGACTTTAATTAATGCAACTTTATTTTATATTTATGTCTTGGTGTGCTATAATTGAAAGTTTTTAATTTTAAATATATTTTTTGCAACAAATAGATTCCATTAGAATATTTAATAATTTGATTATAAGATGAACTAAAAAACAAACATAATAGAAGTGTTTGTAGTGTCCGAACAGCTCTATTGTTATTGTTATGCGACAAATCTCATATTTTCTTTTTTGTTTCTCAACATTGTTCATTTCAGTTCTATGCAGATAGTGTTTGGGTGTTCTTTATTTTTACTTTGCATAAAGTCATATTGGCAAAGTGTAAATCCTTCATATTAAGGCCAATATTTTTTTTTGGAAAAATCTAAGGCAGTTTTCCTTGTAGACCTTAAATGCGTTAACAACTTTGTTCACATCTGATATGTGTATAAAGTAGTTTTGATGTATACTAGAACATGAATCAATACCATGTGAGTAAGGTAAATGGAAAGCTTGAAATTTACATCAGTCACACCACTGTTTTTTGAGGTCAACATTAAAATGACCTATTGGTCGACCCTCGTTTTGGTTAACTATTTCATGGATCATGAAATAAAATCTCTCACGATCAAATTGCATGACATTATGAGAGTTGGATTTTAGCATTTCTTCAGCGATACCTTTATTGTAATTATTTGTGTAAACTTGTCTTGAAGCCAATATTTTTTTGTCCAGTCATATCCTCGCTTCCCAAATAGAGATCTCAACTTATAGTATGTTTATTGTACCAAAGCAATGATAGGTAGGTTATGAGTGGCCTTAAACATTTAGTTCATTGATTCGGCAAGGTTGATTATCATGCGGCCCTAGTGTTGTCCTCCTTTATACGCTCTTACCCATTTTTCTCTTGGAATATTGTTTGCTCGCCTCAAAGCATGTATGTTTGCTTGACATATTTCCTCTCGCTGATAATTGAGTGTAAGCTCATTCATGTATATCCTATATAGACAAAATTAACAAAGATAAATAGAAAAATATAGTGGTTTAAGTTGTAGTAGTAAGGATAAATATAGATTGTTATCCATGCTAACAACTTTTTTGCGAAGTTCTCTGTCTTTGATCTCATGCATGAAGTTTTGTACAATGTGTCTGATGTAGTGCACATGTGAAGATGGAGTAAATTGTCATCCATTTTCTTGATCATTATATGCACTCTTTATAGATTTATGTCATTCACATATCAAACAAAGGTTGGCTTAGGGGGTGATGCGAGTTCATAAATCCTTTAGAAAAAAACTCCAAGCACTTCTTGTCTCACCTTCTACTAATGTAAAATCTATTGGAAATATATTGTTGTTCCCATCTTGTGCAATATCCATTAACAATGTCCCTTTATATTTACTATACAACCATTTTCAGTCAACTTGCACAATAAATTTTCAATATGCAAAACCTTAATACATGGTTGGTAAGCCCATAACAGATTATGGAAGATTCTCCTGTCTCCGAGTTATGTTTCCTCGTTTGAAAATGCAGACAATGTATGTATTTTTAAAATAGTTTGCATGACCAACAATCATTGTGGAAGATCGTTGAAGAATGTCTCCTAGTTTCAGTAGATACATTTTATTGCCTTGTTCTTTGCAATCCACATTTTTTTTATGAGATTATTTACTTATATTTCTCAAAACTATGGGTGATAATAAACTTGACTTTAATTGAAGCATCACATTTAACAAGTTTCTTGATGTTGTGAGAAAGCATGTCTGAGTCGAGCTTTTGATGATCTTGCGAAATACATGACAAAGTGAAAGTGTGAGGTCCATTGATAGTATCAATCACCCATTTTAATTTGCATTGAGTTTTTACATTTAATCACATATTGTTTATTATCTGATTTAAAAATCTAGTAATCAATAGTATTTTTTATATGTCAGTGTTGAAAGGAAAGAACATATTCTTCCTTGTTTCCAAACTTCATTCCAATATCTAAAATTTCACATTTTGTATGTCTGAAGTAGTTCCACAAAACAGAAGCATGTTCGACAACTTCCAAGCATATATTTTGCATATGGACTGATGGATTGTACATATTAAGCAGTTGGGAGTTTAGAGCCTGTGTGTTCTCACTTTTGGAGTCATCGCAATCAAATAAATCAACATATCAGACTACATCGTCATTATTGACTTCCTTAGCTGGAATGAAAGGTTTATTATTAGTGATGGTTATTCTTCACTATGTGGGTAATGTATAGGAAAATATGTTGATGAAGATGTAAGTTGAGTCATTTCATCGAAAAGGCACGTGACACAAAAATACATTTAATGTGTATGTTTTCAATGTCAATTGTGTTCCATCAATACCCTTCACTTGACCTAGACGTTAGTTGATCTTGAAGCATGCACGGCAAAATCTTTCACCTATAAGCCTGTCTGTTCTGGACTTACCATAAGGCCCAGTAAAAGCAGTCCAAGGGCGAAACACTATTGGGAACCACACACAACAAGAAAGGAGGACATACATTCTCTTAAATACAGACAATCTCAGTTCTAATTCATCACATGCCATTAAGATCAATTGAATGGTCTCTAACATGACATGTCACATTCCATGCAAAGCAGTTATAATCACACTTTCTATATAAACAGTGCAACATTTTACAAGTATTTTAAATTCATTTTCATTATTCACTATTTCTCACTCTCACTGACTTGAACATTAAAATACTACAACAAAGCGCCTCCATTCAGAAAAACTCGGTGCACCGCATTAAAAGTTCAATCACGTTGAATCATCTAACATTTCTAAATTCCCTCACAAAATAAAAACATTTTAATAAATTAAATATAATTCGCATCGGTTTCTTAATGAGATGTGTCTTTATAAGAATAATCTACCCTCAACTCAACTCTATTTTTTATTGGTTAAATTCATAACAATTTCGTATAAATTTAGTGGATTCCATATAATTTTAATCAATTGAAATGTACGATAGTGTAGTGTGTTACTAGAACACATCTCTTTTTAAAGGTAGAGAATCAAATGATACCACCACTTTCACTTCAATAAATTGACACTTTTTATAAATAATTATGTCATGCAGCTGGCATCTAAGCTGATTATTCGTCAAAATATAATTAAAAAGTGTAGAGCAAACATGAATGAATATGGAAACTTTTTTATTAGATATACAACACAAAATATGGACAAGTAAAATAAAAGAACTCAGAATTCTCTCCTACTACGTGCTAGATCACTTGCTAAATCTTCATGTTGCTCACATTGTTCCAAGAATTTCCTATAACCAGGATTATATGCAACAACAAGACGCAGATATTTTGCAGCTTCAGCCTTTTGACCAGCATCATATAAAGTGCTATAAACACAAGAAATCAAATCCAACCTTATTAGCAAAATGGAAATAAGAAAATATCTTTTTTAACACAAATTAAGGTGTTTAACCAAGTTGTACCTGGCAAGCAGCAGCAACCCATCAAAATAATAGCCTTTGCTAGTAGGATCTTCGGGCTCGTCCATATTTGCGACTCTTTCAAAGTGTACACGTCCTTCATCCTTCTTTCCCTGCCATACAGAAAATTGAAGAAGAATGAAAATCAATGCCAATCCTAAGAAAGAACTAGATGTGTGATGTTTGTAAAGAGACATTAACATTGCTAATCGGTCATTAGTAGATACATACATCAGTAGTCATTAGCCAATATATGATCACTTTTTTAATTAATAAAATACTTGTGATCATAACATATTTTTCTTTCTACTATGATCGTGTCATAAAAAAAATAAAAAATAAAAAATAAAATAAAATAGTCTTTAGTTGGAAGATATATCAAATCCGAATAACAATTGTGTCTTTAGTTGGTGTGAAGTGTCAAAATATATATGTATTTAAGTATTTTATGGCCATAATCAAAATACTTTTACAGACGGAAGTTTGATAAAAATAAATAAAAATTGAAGTAAGCATTTCACCTGTCGTTCACAGGCAATTCCAGCCCATTGAGAAGAAAGAATCAAAAAATCAACCTCTTCTGGATCAGTTGGGAGGCCAGCCAGTGAAAGCTAATGAAAAATCGGTAAATCATTAGGCATTTTCGGTGCAAATGAAGTGAAATGAGACAATAAATTTCAAGTCTAGGTAAAAATGAAAAATAGCAATTCAAAAGTATAGTTCACATGAACAAATACCAGACCAAACATAATAAATAAAAACAGAATAGCAAGTTAAAAAGAAACGGGGGCAGATATGAGTTCACACCTTTGATATTGCACGCTCAAAGTATTCAACAGCTTCATCATTTATTTGCTTCAGCAAGAGAACCCGTCCCATTAAAACTAAAGCTCGCAAGTATTCAGGGTCCTTATCAAGGGCTAGTCTGTATATGGGAGTTAATAAAGCATTTCACCGTCAATCATAGATAAGGCTTAAAATTACAATAACACTAGGAATTTCCTTTTCTATTAATTCTTCTCCCACTCTGAAGAAATTAAAATGAATAACTCACTTTAGTAACTAGAAAGCATAACTTACTTTAGTAAAGGTATAGCACTTTCTTTATCATTACTGGATAGAAATGGGACTGCAAGCTGTAAACAAAACCAACCCATTAATTGGTGACAGATTCTTGGAGCCAATAAGGTTTTAATGACATGTCATTCACGATGCATGTTCATGTTCTTATTCACTCACAGTGGTTAGTTCTACAGGGGACATATTCTCTATAGGTATTTTCTGCCACTTTTCAGGTGAATCCAGAGGGTTCTTTACAGGAGAAACATTTTCCTTGGTAGCTGCTATTGTACTATTGTCTTGTAAACGGGGCGTTTCAGAAGCACCAATTTCCTCAGAAGCTGCTTTTTGACGATCCTTGTCAAGTAACCCCAATTTTGCAAGGATAGTAGGATTTCTAAGAGCAAAGTGCTGCAAAGTTTATTTAAGATTGATTGTACGTGGTAGTTCAAACTTTATAAAAAAAAACTTAACAATGCACAAAGTTTTTTTACTAACCTGAACAAGTGTTAATGAACTATTGGTAATCCAATAGAGTTGGCTTCCCTGCAAGAACAAATTTCAGTAATATAAGACTACAACCTTCAGATTATGGCAAGAGATGGGATGAGACCTGAGTTTACCATAAAAGAAAGCAACTGATGAAAAAGGGCACATACGCAAAAGGAATGTTGCTGTAATGTGATCGCTAACTAATCTTCTGTTAGAATTATGAGAAACCAATATAGTGTCAAGCTACTCATTTTATTTTTGATAGGTATTGATGAGTAATCCTAAACCTAGTTAGTTAGTAAGTAGAAATATGGTTAAGAGAAATATAAGGCACCTTGCCTGTAAATAAAGAGGAAAGAGTGAGAGAGAAGGTAGCTTGTCATTTTGATAGAGTTGAGGCCTTTTGGCATTAGGAGATGCACTCTCAGAATCTGAGCAACATTGTAATCTAGGAAACTTAACCTATTATTTTGTAATAAGATACAAGTTCAAATCAAATGGACAAGGGAAACCTATCAATGTAAGTTCAGAATAGGAGATGTACCGTTAGACTGAAATGTTGCAGAAATTATAACTCTATCTAGTATCAACTACTGCAGTCAGGGTATTAAGATACCTTAATCAGATTGAGTACAAATGAAAATAGACTCTAATGGATTATAAAGAAATAGTAGCTTATTTCAAAAAAAAAATTATAGATTTCCTTAATCTTCAGCAACCATGCAACCCAATTCCCCAGTGAGCAGTGCCTACAGATATCTCGCACAGTAAGATAGCTCCAAATGTAGGATTATTCGTAAAATGTGTAGTCAATTCTGAGTTTTTAATGTGTAAACCATGCAGTCTTTGAAATCTACTAGTAACCATCTGACCATCTACCATAAATTCTCAGAATGCAAGGCAGAGATGTCATTTATCCAACTAAATCCTAACAATGCAAAATATTTAAGGATTAAAATTACCTGAGGAATACAAAATCCAATGAAAGCTATAGGCACCGTTAGAAAGTTCAAGTATCGCTTGTAGTACTGCATTAACAAAAATATTTCTCATTTAATTGTTGAATTACTGCTTTTAAATCAGTGAACAGAAGCAGACACAATATGCTTAAACACTATTTGTAAAATGAAATAAAGATATTTATATTACAGAAAATGCAAAATAAAGAAACATATTTGATACAAAATAATACACAAAAATGTTCTCTGTTTTTATATCAATTTTGTTTTGCCGAGGAAAATTAATAAGAAGTAATACATTAAAACTGTTATACTCACAGTGGATAACAAGCCAAAAATGTCCTTTGTTTCTTCAACCAAAGGTTTCTTAAAGGATACCTGATAAACCAAGAACATAATCAGTACACAGTATCTGTCTATGAATACTCATCCACGCCCTTAGGAAACCAATAAAACTTTGAGAGAATTAACTTAAAGTGCAATTTCACATGCCAAACACATCCCAGACAGAAAGCATAAAAACACTATTATGCATTAAACTAGAAGCTGATTATTATTTTAAAGCACATAGAATATTAATTATTGTACTATATATGTATACTATTTTATTGCTGACTGAGCTACTAGTGAGACAGCAATGTAGCTTGTTTAATAAAGGGGAAAAAACAACAAAATTAATTTCATCATTGTAAACAGAATAACAGAGGCAGTAAGCATACACCATGTATTGGATTGCCTAGCTTGAGTAATCACAGGCCATTGATCAATTTCCTTTATGTCCATCAAGTTTGCCAGCTATTTTGGCTCGGTAAACCTTTTATTATATTACATTAGCTGCCCCAAATATCTTGCTAAGTAGTTGGCTCATAACGACTCAACTACATCCCAACTTTATCACGTGGGTCACCAAAAAGACACTGATATATTATGATTCAAAAAAATTTAGTAGAATTAAATTAAACTATTTCATGTTAGATGAATGCCTTAACCCACATGGGCATGGAGAAGGGGGTAAAGCAACAAAAGGTAAATAGAGATGATTTAACTCCTCGTGGTTATGGACTCGGTACTTCATTACCTGAACAATAATGTAGTGCAAACTAGCCATCAGAAAAGGAAAGGTGAACCCTGAATAACCGTGAGAGAATTCAGTTAAATTCTGGAACCATAAAGCACCGCCCTGCAATATGTAGCATGTTTAAATCATTCAGCAACAATGGGTGTCTGTGTTAATATTGTGCAAATATCTTTAAAACTTAATATTCAACAATCAACATTGACACAGCCTCTCTACAACAATGAAGTTCCCAAATTCTGCCAGTCCATAATTTGCATGCCATCATTAAAACTTACAGTTATCATTCTAATCCATCTAATCAAATTGAGTTGGATCTTCATGTTTGATATCTTATAAATATAAAGTGGTTTTATTCATTCATGGAACTACAACCTTGTAAATTATGTTTGCAAAATAGGTAGTTTAGAAAAGCACAGACCATGTTATTGATTGTGGATGGCGCACCATGGTGGAAAGCCAAAAATTCATCATTTTGAGCCATCATATTCACCTTAAAACACCATGGAGCCGCCATCCTTCACAAACTGGCCATGGCAATAGTAAAAAAAAATCTGCCAATACGATCTGCCCTGGCGCCGCAACAGCAGATATTTGACTACATTGGCATAGATGCAATAAGAAACAGTATTTTAGTTAGAGCCTTACACAATCAAAACCAGGGTGACCATCCAGTGACATCCTCCTTATGCTAATCATCCACAAGAAAAAGCAGGGAATCTGTAGTTAAATTAAAAACTCAAAACCGTGATGAAAATTTTGTGAAACAACTATGTGATCATGTAACTTTGTTATTCAATATATTGGTTTCTCCTGAATGATAAAAATCAAAGTATTGTACATTTTTTAACATACATTTCCCAATTACAAATTTTCTACTAATAGGAATGCAACTATTTGGTGCACTGGGCTGGAGCAAAGCACGCACTTTTAATGTTGTCTCCTTGTTTAATCTTTCGGGCAATGTTGTGTTTTTATCAATTCTCTTATGCTCAGTTTACGGTTGTTTTAAAGGTCTTTCCATCTCAGTTGTGCAGATAATAGGGAGCTCTACTACAGCATTCTCATTTTTTTCTTTCCGACAGTTCCCATTATCCTTTTTGACAAATGATAGGAAAATGGTTTCCTTGGATGCAAAAGTTCAACTGATGTTGTAAATGCAGTTGGCTCAACTGGTAGGAACAAAATGCATCTACTAAAAGATGTTGAATTTATGGTAGGCAATCTGTAAGACCTCGGCTCTCTGAGGTTTGAGGCACAGCCTAACCTTGGAATGAGGCATTTTCTCTCCACCTAAACTTTCTTTTCACCACAACAAAAAACTAATGATCAAAAAATTTGGTTATTGTATTAATTGCCATAGATGCCCTGTTTAGATCAAATGGACACCTTTGGCAGAGGTTTCAGCTTCTAACCAGCTCATGGATGCTTCCTCTGATATTCAGAAGAGTAAGGAACAAGTTAAAATTTGAATAAAAAATCATCAAAAGCTTGTTGGAAATCCTGAATTCAATGATGCAAGAATTCTTCCGGTTTAAGCTGTCAAGGTATGCAGTGAGGCAATGTATGGTCTCTAGAAATGATAGTCTAACCTTTTATCACTCCTCTTTTTCAGGGGAAGGCAATGCAGCAATGTAAGCTCTATTGAAGTTGCAAAGAAAGAAACTTTCAATTGAACACTTAAGCTTATTCAAAAACATACTATATTATGATCGATAGGCTTCAGTGTTGTCCTTTTCAGATTTTAGACATTATTTAATTTCCATTTGCAAGTACTACAATTTAACCATTCATGGTTTTAGCTTTTCCTCTTTACTTATATATTGCATAATCTGAAACTGGGAATTTCTTTCATCCTCATCACAACTACAGTATACATCTCTTATTGGCAGTTGATTTTGGCTTTAATGCTTTTAGCAAAGGTGTGACTAAGGAGGAGTAAAAGACAAACTTGTTGCTCCAGGGTTCATCAAAAATGTATCTAATGAATTTAGATATATCACCTGAACCATAAATGGTACTAGTGGCCATGCATATGAAGGGCATCCAGTTGCTTTTCTCTTCTCCTCAAAGAATGACATCTGACGCATATAACTCTTTCCTGAGAAAGGTGGTGGGAATGGAGGGGGCACTTTAAGAAGTGAAGGAATCAAACAAAAATTAATAATAATTGAAGTAGATGAACTACATATGGAAAAGAGAAAAAAAAATCTTGTACAAAGTACTATAAGAAATGTGATAAGCAAGCATTCACTCTTATTTTCTAACCATAAAAAGAAACAAAATACACTTTAAAGGCAAAAAGAACAGTCAGATGGACCTCAAAACGAACCAAAGCCAAATTGCGTATACAAGCAAACAAGAACAAAATCTCCATGATTGATACATGATGGTCACACATAATGGAAGCAAAACTAGAATGAAAAGGGATTTGGATCCTCCAAAGTGACTAAAGTGTAAATTGAGAAAATCAAGGGTTGTTATTTTAACAAATTCATGATTTGTTATGATATATTTACAATATCTACCTTTGATATTTTAATTAATGGTTGATATTACTCACTTTACACTCTAAAGTGAATTGCTCACTTTAGAGGAGCTAGAACCAATGAAACGAGTGAGATGACAGTGCAACATGGGTGACGAAAACAAAACTGAATAACCTCAACAAGAGCAAGAATAGAAAACAAGGTATACCTTTCATAAGTTAATCAAACAAATCAGTGGACAATCATGTGTGATGAGAACAATCATAAATATTAAACGAAAGTGACAATAACCCAATTATTATTATTTTATTATAAACAAAAAATTAAAGCCCTAATCAACACTTTACAAGGAAAAAGATATATACCTATCCACAACAACAAGAATTAAGCCTTATCCCATTCATTGGGGTCGGGTACATGGATCAACTTTCGCCATAATGTTCTATTCAAGACCATACTTCTATCCAAATCACTAATCTCGAGATCTTTATTAATAAATTCTCTCATAGCCTTTCTAGGTCTTCCTCTTCATCTAATTGTTTGACTTCTCTTCATCTGATTGACCCTCCTTACCACAGAATTTATAGATCTTCTCTACCACCTAAGTCTATTTTCCAGTATCTTTTCTATTATAGGTTTCGTAGTTGATCCATGTCATAGAGATTCGACAAAGTTTTACATTGGTTGTCGTTTGCCTAACACAACCCTCTCCTTTTATATTTGTGTGTATAGATATACATATCTATACACACAAGAAATCACCTTCATCTCATCATGAACTTGCAAAGCAAATTTATGAATTTACCTTTACTCCTAATTAAATTTAATAACTAATATGCTACCAAGAGAATGAAGCAATGAAATAATTCAAGTTGAGCATATGATACTTACATTTAGGGGCAAACTCTGCAATCCTTTTAAGCTTGTGAAGTGTAAAAACAAGAGGAAAAAGCATTACAATTCTGAGAGCCAAAGTAGACGAAGCTATAGTTATCCACCTGAAGATTCAAACACTGAATTAACACGAACATTCAATTCAGAATCAGAGAGATATAACAGTAAATATAGTAGCGTTATCAATAAGAAAACGAGACATTGAAGCTTACCATGGAAATCCAGTAAGATCGTGGTATGAATCAAGTATTGAAATCACCGCACGGATGGGGAAAGCAGAGTTATCTTCGCCGCCGGCACCGGCGCTGTCTGCGACTGCTTTTAGAATCTCGGAGTGGACCGGAGAGTCAATACCGGGGTCATTGAAAGAGCGAGTTGAGAAAGCGCGCGTGCGGAACGCGTCGAGAGAGGCGAGGGTTGGAGGGTGAGGTGTTAAAGGAGAGGGAAGTGGGGGAGGGGGATGAGAAGTGAGGACTCGTGGAAGATAGAAGAGTGACGACGGACGCGAAGGGCGGAGAAGGGAACGGAGCACCGCCGCAGTTGCCATTGACGGCGGGAGGAAGCTGATTAACTTGGCTAGCTAGTGTACTGAAGTTCGGGCGTGTTTTTTCAATTCTCCTCTTTTTTTTACGGTAGGTTTTCTGTTTTTCTTTTTTTCTTTCATGACAAGTTATCTTGTATGAGGTTAACGGCATTTTTGGTTTTTTTTTTCCTTCTTTTCTCAACCTCTTGATTTCCATCCTTTATTTTGGTTTAATGATTCTTTTGATTCATTAATTTAATTTAAAGTTTTATTTTAATATCTTATTTAATAAATTAAGGATTGATTTTTTAAAAATAATTATGTTAGTCACTTAATTCTTCATCAATGAATATAAGAGAAAAGTTTATTTATATATATATATATATATATATATATATATATATATATATATATATATATATATATATATATATATATATATATATATATATATATATATATATATATATATATATATATATATATATATATATATATGTGTGTGTGTGTGTGTGTGTGGTTGTTTAGGTCGTATGGTAATTTTCAACTTGATTTTTTTTTTTTTTGAATTTGTTTGTTTTTATGTTGAAATCTTTTGGATAAGTCGAAACCTTTCAATGTTATTCATTGTGTTTGACAAAGTTGAAAGACAGGGGGGAACAAGAGAAGACAAAGAGAAACCCTAGTTCGAAGAACGTGAAGTTTTCCAAAACGCGAAGACGATAGGAAGAGGAAAGAGCTTCAAGATCTAGTTGCTCTTCTCTCGATTTTCTCCTCTCCAATAAATTCATTAACCACTCATACAAACTTTATTTGATGAATCTGTTTTGTTTTGTTGCAGTTATATGAAGATTTGCAAACTCCAAATCAACCATGGATGATTCAAGAAAAGGGAAGTCAGGGTCGGGACGAACCAAGTTCACCCATTCATCTTCTCCTACCTACAGTGCTATTTGCACTTCTATCAGAAAGGAGATTCATGGGTTCACTATCTTTTTTGAGTGAACTCATACACTAAAAACTATCACTAATAAGTATAAGATTTGCAAGGGGGTGAATAATTGCTAAAGGAGAAGTATTTAACATATTTGGGTCTATTACTTATGTACGTGACAAAGTTTTACTTATGTTATCTGAAATATTTCATATACCCTTAAATGCTCAATTAGTTGTCAATTAAGACCAACTGAGTTCCTGTGTACTCTATCTCTTGTCAGTTGGAACAAATTGAGCTCTTATGTGCTCTAAATGTTGTCAGTTGGGACCAATAGAGTAATCAATAGACTATAGAGAGATCAATCCTTATTAAAAGAGATTGGTCATTATTAATAAGTACAATAGGGGATATTTTGATAATATTAATAATTGGTCAAATGGTACTAGAAGACAAAATATCAATTGAGATATTTTGTATTACTATCTAATATTATATATTATGTATGTATATTGTGTGGTGGTAAAGAAAAGAAGAAAAGAAAGATAAGAATAAAAGAAGAAGTGGATGAGAGAAAGAGAGAGTTATCAGAAAGATGAAAAGGAAAAGAAAGAGACAGGAAGAGGAGAAGAAGAAAAGGAAGAAGAAAGAAGAGGAAGGATGAAAAACTCATCATCACCAACTTCATCTCCATTTCATCAATCTCGTCATTATCTTCTTGAATCATGTGAGTTCTAGCTAGAAACTTGTGATTTTAGGAGTTAGGTTTGTTGAATCATAGAGAAATTAGTAAGGTTATGATAACATGATAAAAGTTTATTGATCATGAACAATGTCTTACTGTTTCCTCCACGATTGTTGGGTTTCACATGTTGATGAAATCGTTGTTGTTCTTGTTCCTATTGTTGCTATCTTTGGTTTCATGTTGTTTTGGGTCATTAGATGAATCAAAAAGATGATTGTTGGTGTTTTCACATCTATATGCATCCAAATATTGTCCCGGTTCGCTACAGTTCGCTAAGCAAAGTCAGGGGAAGTTTTCTACTAACTTGGTTCGCTAGGAGTTCGCTCAGGGAAGTCTGTTCGTTGGGAGTTCGTTGGAGCTCACTGAGCAAAATTGACTGTATTGAGAAAAATGTTTGATTCTTATTTTCCTCAAAAATCGAGAATCGTAACTCGGAATGAGGCACGGTCGGAAGCGTTGAAAAGATCTTTCAATGCTCTAATTGATAGTGAGGTAAAAACATGGTTTTATACTGATGATTTATATGATAGTGATGATAAAATATTATGTATGATATGAGGAATTGATTTAACACCTCATTTTATTGTTTCCACCATAAAACGGGAATGGTAGCCTTAATTGATACGAAGACGGAAGTGTTAGGAAGCTAACATAAAGAACTATGATATAGAGAGACATCTCTATGAATTATTCCACTGAATCTTTTCCCTTTGAGTTCGGTGAACCTCTAACATAGGATGATTAGACGGATGTTGTATGAAACTTAGAAGTGGAATAAGTTAGATTGAGGCGAGTTGTGTGATAACCTTGTCGATGGTTTTGTAATGTGTTACATTACCATGTGTGCCTTATGTAGGTCATAAATTGTATCATGATGCATGTTTTATGTTATTAATTGATGCTTGTATTGTTGTGTAATAACATGATAAAACCTTATGATGATAAGTGAGGAAACCTTAAGAGCGTAACCTGATTAATGACATAGAAAGATAACATGGGTTATGGAAATGAATGTTATCGTGATATTTGGACACAAAGGTACCTCGATATGTATCATAGACAAGCATTTGCTTGATTATGAATCAATATGCATTGTATGGAACATGTGGAATAACTTCTGAATGGGTGGATATGATCACCAGGTATTTGATGAATAACTGTAACTTTGTTAATTGCATTCCATTCAGTGGAGGCTAGGACTATCGTTGGCTATATCTGTTGGATTGGATATCATCATACTGTGAAGGCTAGGAGTACTGATGGTCATATTCAGTAGATAGTGTATTCTACACGTTGGAGGTTGGGTACTACTGTTGCCCATGTCTGGTGGGTGATTGATTAGATCATTGTGATCAGTTTGGGTTAATCACCTTTGTATTACACTTTGAATTCTTGATTAGTGATTGTTTGAGTTGATGAACTCAAGAGACATGTTCCCATACATTTCAAGTTTTTGTATACTTAGTTTTTCCCCCTGTAATACCTTATATTTCCCTTAAATGCTCAATTGGGTGCCAGTTGGAATAACTGAAGCTCTTAAGTGCTCTTAATGTCATTAGTTGGGGCCAATAGAGTAACTAGTGGAGTCTGAAGAGATCAATTATTGATAAAAGAGACAGACCAATATTAATAAGTATAAGAGATGATATTTTGGTAACTTTAATATTTGGTCAATTGGTGTTAGATGACAAAATGTAAAATGGAGATACATTGAAGAGAAAGAAAAAAGTTGGTAAGAAGAAAGAAAAGAGGAAAAGAGAAAGAGTAAGAGAGAAATGGAAGAGAAGAAGAATAACTCATGAAGGAAGGAGAGGAAACTCATCATCGTTCATCTCCATCATCAATATTATTCATCAAATGTGAGTTCCATTAGTCAATGATAGCTTTGGGGGAAAATATGTAAATATTGGTGGGTTAGGGTTTTGTTGGGATTGAATCAAATGTCGTTTTCTTGAGATAATTGATGGATTTCATCCTTAATAATTTCATACCATGCCTAAATAAGTGTTTGATTATGTTTTTGGTTGTTGGATATTTAAGAATTAAAGTTTTGTCCATGGTTAATAATGTTTCGGTGTTGCTGGAAATTTGGATAATTCATGGATCGCACAGCGAGCTCTAGTGAGCCAACAGAGACTATCTCAGTCTGCTATGCTCGCACTCCGAGCTTCTAGCGAAGCGAAGGTAAGACCTCGCCTAGAGCTCGCACAACAAACGCTGGGGTTTTTTTTTGCCATTGCCTCTGATTTCCCCTGCTTTGCTCAGACCTTGCATGTCGAAGTGTATGCGACGCGACCTCGTCTAGAGCTCGCATAGCGAGCCTGGCAGGTTTTGTTTTATTGGTTCGTTCACTTGTTTGGATATTTCTTGTGCGTATTTCATTGTATCATGGTTTTTTATGATGAGTATAATGATTAATATACATGTCTAAAGTGTATATAGAGGTGTGCTTGATTGAATGGTATAGAATTCAAAGAATGGGGAATATTATGGATTGGGTGAGGTTGAACTCCATGCGAAATGGAAAGATAATCCCAATGGATATTAAATGATGATGTAATACCATGAATTAACCAAGGATACTTGGTAAAATATAGTATTGGCTTGGATGCCTTAATGTGTATGTGAATTCCTAGGTTGAGATGTTGTGTTACCATATATGTGTTTCATATATATATTAAATGTTTGATTGTGTGATACCATGATTAAAAGACTATAAGAATGGTGAGGAAAACAATTCGGTATTAATTAATGGAATAAACTAGTAAAGTGGTTAGGACATGATGAATAATATAGATGACAATGCTTGTGCAATGGTGCCTAGGTGTGTATCATTGGGAAATAGTTGCCTAGTTGTGAGGAAAGTTTTGTATGAAACGTGTATGGTTTGTGATGTTTATGGTTAAGTTGAATGTGGTCACCCTGTGATTGTCAAATACAATCACGATTTTGTTATTTTATCACGTAGTCAAAAACAATCCCTGTTTGTTTCGTCTCAAGTCATGATACCTATATAGTGTAAAATTGGGATGAAGGCACCAATTCTTCACATCAACCAAATGGATTTGATTCTCGTATACTCAACCGAATGAGTTAAAGTCCCATAGTGAAACCGAATGGGTTAAAGTCCCATAGTGCAACCGAGTGGATTAAAGTCTCATATGTTCAACCAAGTGGGTTAGAGTCTTATATAATCAATCAAATGGGTTAGAGTCCCATATGTGCAACCAAGTGGGTTAGAGTCTCGTAGCTTGAAATTCTCATGAAAGTCGAAGTGTGATATAAGGATTCGTGACCCGTGTTGAGAATCCTAGATGTAGGATTGGTCGGGGAAAGGTACCTTGG